AATGTGACCCAGAGCATCCCTGATGGGCCCTTGGGCTGCAATTGCCACCACAGCATCAGCCACAGTGCGGTCACAGGTGCCTTCCCCTTCGGAAGGCCATCCTGCTGCTGTGCTTTCCAGGACTGTTTTTTTTTTCCCAGTTGAATCACTGCTTTAATGGATGTGGGTAAGTACAGAGCACTTTGAAATGCATCAGGAAATGAGAAAACAGCAGAGAAGGCAGCAGATCCCACTCGGATTGTGTGTGGTTGGAAGGAGAGGTGGGTGGTGAAGGGCTGTGGTGGCATTATGGCCATGGCGTGGTTGGTGAGATAAGCCAGAGCAAATGAAGGGAATTGCTGGCAGCAGTGCTGAGGAGGGACTTGTGGCCATTTCAATGCCTCTTCTCTCTGTGGTGGCAGCTGGCACCTGCAGAGGGCAAACAGGACAGCCTGGCCTTGAGGGGTGGTGGCTTCTCCAGAAACCTCAGCTGCATTGGCTCTGCCAGGTGTCCCCTGGCAAAGTGCTGGGGAGAGGGACCCTGCAGGTGGCAGAGTCACAGCAACGCACCAGTCCCTCTGTTATCCCTCTGCTTCCTCCACCACCCGCCCAGTTCCTCCATCCTCACACCTGTCCCTGCATCAGCCCCATCACCCTTCTAGTCCCTCCATCATCCTACCAGTCACTCTGCCATCCCTTTATCCTCCCACCAGTCTCTCCATCCCTGCATTGAAGTGTGGGAGACAAGGGATGGAATTGCCTTTCCAGGATGGAACTTGTCCCTCTGTCCCAGCCAGGCCCCTGGAAGGTCTCACTGGGCAGCACTTCCAGATTTGTTCCCCTAGGACAGGTTGGGAACCTCTTTCAAGATCTCTTGCTGCTGTCTCCACACATGACAGGTGCAAACACGCTCAGGACTGGCCTTTGCTCAAATCCCCTCTCCAACCCCTTTGCCCTGGTGCTTGGTCCATGTACAGACAGATTCTGCTTGGATCCATCACCCTGCTCCTCCCTCCCACACCCTCCACTCACGGAGCACTTCCAGCTGGATTTCCAGGCTCTTCCTGTCTCCTGTGTTGACAGTCACTCTGTAGGTGCCACTGTCACTTTCCTGGACATCCTGCAGCAGCAGAGATCCATTGGACGGATGGAAAACGGCTCGTCCTGCATAGGGAGCGTGGATGGCTGGGGCGTGGGCCCCCCCCTGGTGCTGCAGGATGGGCTGGGGGCCGGTGCCATTGAGGAATTCCCAGCACATGGAATCGCTGTGGGTAACATTGTCTGGCCCAGGGAGCAGCACCGAGGATCCCACAGCAGTGGCTCTGTGGACAGCTCCCGCTGCTCCCAGAGCTGGAGGGAATGACACCAACAGCCCTGGAGGGAAGAGAGGGGCTGGAACAGCTGCTCTGGGAAAAAGTGTCTCTGCCCATGGCAGAGGAGTGGAATGAACTTCTCCTACCTGAGTTTTTGTTGTACTCACCCAATTTCCACATCTCATTCCCAATTCAGAGAACCCTGGAAAGGTTTGGGTTGAAAGGGAGCTCAAAGCCTGTCTCATTCCAGCTCTGCCATCTGCAGGGACACCTTCCACTAGACCAGGCTGGTCCAAGCCCTGTTCAGCCTGCCTTTGAACACTTCCAGGAATGGGGCAGCCACAAAATTCCTAGTCTTGTTTGGGGCTGAAGTTGTCCACATGCCCCCCACAGGATTTCTGCCCAGACTTTCTGGGCTTGTCACAACTTGGGCTCTGGCAGGTGCTCAAGGACTTATGGAGGAGCTGCTGTGGGAAGGCCACAGCTGCCAGACCCCCATCCCCAGTAAAGAGGATTCCAGGAGAGAGGAGAGGGAGGGGAGCTTCCCCAGCCCCTGTGGCTCCAGAGCAGGGCAGAGGCCAGGGATCCTCACAGGCTGTGTTTGCTCTCGGCCCTGTCTCAACCTGCCCTGATAAGCACCTGTTCACCTGCATTCCCACTGCACCTGCCAGGCAAACTGCCCTGGAAACTCCTGCTGCTCCCACTGGGGATGGTGCAGCGCAGGTGGGAGAGAAAAGAAGTGGGACAATCCAGGTAAAGTCAAGTTCATCAGGTGATTTTAATTTCTCACTCTTATAGCCTTGAAACGCAGCTGTTTTCATGCCCTCCTGCCCCCCCCAGACTGTAGATGTGGAGGAAGAAAATACAATTTAATCATTAAAAATTCTTATTATCTGAAAAATTTCATTTTTCTGCTGAGAAAACACTGTTTACAGAGAACAGAACAATGAGCTGAAGGAAAGAGGAAAACACTTCATCTTTTGCAGCTGCAATGGCCAAAACTCATCCTACAGACACTGAGAGCTCACTGACATCATCCCAAAATCAAGCTGTAGGGTAATGGGCTTCCTTTCCATTTTAGATGCTTGTCCTGAAAATCTTTTTGCATTTGGATCTAGCACAGAGCAAGTATGGCTGCCCCATTCCTGGAAGTGTTCAAGGCCAGGCTGGATGGGGCTTGGAGCAGCCTGGGGATAGAATGGGAGGAACTTCAAGGTCCTTTTCAACCCAAACCCTCCTGTTATTCTATGGTTTGTGTTTCAAAGCAGCCAGTGACAATTTAAAGGAGCACAGTGAAAATGCTCACACGAGTTTAACACAAATAAAATCTGTGTTTTTAAAAACATCAAATATTTTTACATATCTATTTTTAACACAAACACAGATATTGACATATATACCGATATTTATGTGTGAGTACATCTATCAGCCCCACTATAAATCTGGCTGCAGCAGACTTTTATCCCCGGAGCTGTGCGTGGCTCTCCCACCACCTCTCCCCTTGGGCAAACACGCCTTTGCCTTCCAGGTTAAACGTTTTACCCACCTAAATCCCCGGCCCGGAGCTCCCCACGCTCGGCTCCAAAGGGCTTTGGAAGAGGCGAGGAGCCCAGCCCAGCCCAGCCCGGGCTCTCCTTACCTGCGAGGAGCACCGAGGTGGTGCCCAGCAGCTCCACGGGACGGCACAGCAGCATCTGCCAAGGGAAAAGAGCCCCGGATAGCCCCGATTTCAGAAATCCCCTCACAGAAATTCCGCGCTGTGCTGAGAGCAGCAGGTGAGGCGGTACCGTGGGTTTGCAGCCTGGGATGGAACCCGGTGTCGCGGGTGTTCCCAGCCTGTTTTCCTGCCGATGGCTCCTCTCCCTCCGCGCCGATTCCCCTCCCAGGCTCCTCCCGGGAGTGGCAGCGGCGGCAGCTCCCGCTCCTGTCCCCGCTCCCCCGGGAAATGGAGCTGCCCAGTGCTCCGGCACCGCGCTGGGATCCATCGGCGGCTCCCGGCTCTGCCGGCACGGCCGAGGGGGTCCCACAGGAATGGAAATTACAGGGGGCAGCCCAGGTCATTTTCATGCCCCAGGGCCAGAAGATCCGTCCCTATCCCTTTCCCACAGCTCAATCCTCTCCCAGAGCCTGCAGCAGAGTTGGAACTCGCCCCCAGCCCGGTTCTGAGGGGAGCAGGGGTTCGGTCTGGCTCTAAAACACCTGAGAGCAGCTTTTTCCTCCCCGCCCTTGAGGTGTGCTGGGATCATCTACATCCCACAGGCTTTCTGCAAAGGGAATTTCAGTTTACAGGAGGGATACTCCTGGGACCAGGACCCAGGGACCTCATTTTGTTACATCTGTATCAAAATAACGGAATCCCAGACCAGTTTGGGTTGGGAGGGTCCTTAAATCCACCCCGTTCTACCCTCCAGCCATGGGAAGAGATCCCTTCTACTGGACCAGGTTGCTCCAAGCCCCAAATGAGGGAAGCTAAAAATGGAAACACTTTTCAGCTGGGCTGGAAGCAGCTTCCCCCGGTTTTATTTGAGTCTTGTGAGGGACCGGAGGCTCTTGGTGGCACCAGAGGGGGCCAAGGGGGATGCACTGAAAGCTGCACCTGCACAATCCTGAGAGCTGGGAGTGAGCAGAGGGCTCTGCAGTGCACAGGGGGGAAATGGGAAGCTCTGGGAGACACTGGAGGGAAATTCATGTGGCCAGCAGGTGAATGGGGAGGGTTTGGTTTCACTGCAGGGCTGAGGACTCTGGGGAACCCCAAAAGCTGGAGGAGGGGCTGAACTGCAGAGCCAAGAGGAAAGGGAGGAATTGGGGTCCCTGTGGGACAAGCCAGCAAACAGGGATGGGAGTGGAGCCAGCTGAAGCCAGCTCGGTGTGAGGGAGGGACACACTCGGGCTGCACGGGGTGAGGGACAGACGGCCCCAGCGGCAAAGGGGACCCATGCCGGGCCCTGGAATGTGCAGATGGGAACGGAGGATCCCGGGAGACAGCAACACCCGCCAGCCTCTCTCCGGGTTCCCTTCGCTGCGCTGGCCTCACCTGCCTTCAGACCAGCCCCAGGGTCCTGCAGGACCCGCAGGTCCCCCAGACCGACATCTCCAATTCTCTCACATCATCCCCACCCTCTGAGCCACCCTTCGGTACGGCGGGCACCACATCCCACAGCTCCTAAAAAACGTTCACAGCCACAGAGGCTTTGAACACCAATTCCTGGTCTTCTCCAGAGGGATGGAGGGAGAGCAGCGGCACGAACTGCACCGGCAGCACCGGGGGCCCCGAGCCCGCCCGGGATGGGACTCGTGGCTTTTTGAAACACGAATTTCTGGCATCTTGTGCCATCGTGTGGCCAGAGAAGGGCCCGTGCAGCGGCACGGGCTGCGGGGATGCGGGAGGGGGTGCGGGATGCCGGGGCTGGCTCAGCCCAGCCCGAGGGTCCCGCCCGCCCAGGACGCGCTGGAGGAGGGCGACTTCCAGCAGGGAATGCTCAGACACTGCGAGCAGAACCTTGTGTTCTTTCCTTGGCTGGGGAAGGGAGTGGCTTTGTCCCCCTCCAGAACTGGAGGTGAAAGAGGAGAGATTCTCTTTCTTTTGCTGGGATCACTCCAGGAGTCTCCCCACTGCCGCCACCTGGCTGCACCACTGCCACCTCTCACCTTTGTCCCAGGGCCCCGGTGACACTTCTGATGGCAAATACCCTTTCTGTGAGCAAACCATTCTCATTTTATACAATCTTTTATTAATATCATTGTGATTATTGCGATTTCTTCAGTAAATTGTGACTCCAACTCAGAACTTATAGTATTTTTCTTCCACTATGGAAAGGGGTTGGCTGGAGGGGGCTTAATTTTCCTGCTGAGTTTTAAAATTGGTTCTACCAGGATCCAAGGCTGCCATTGGAGCTTTACCTGACAGAGGGCAGCTCCCCTGGCACCACCTGCCCAGCCTGGGCTTGGAAATCCCTTTGATCCCTGCTGACTCCCAGGGGCTCACTGGGGATGGGAAGCACTGGGGCAGGAACACCGGGACTGGGAGCATCAGGGAGCTCAGCCCACAGCAAGAGCAGATTTCAGGACTGTCTTGGCACCACGATCTCTACATTCAGCGTTTGGATTAAACAAGAGCAGCAAGTTCAGCACCTGTGCACCTGCACTGCCCCTGCCCTGAGGACACAGAGCACCTCACACAGCACAGCCAGGGGTGAAGGGGCCCAGCCCTGCTTTAAGGTCTGGTCAGAGCAGAGGGAACACGCCAAAAAATATGGCAGAATGAAAAATGTTTAACAGCAGGATTTGCTTTTGTTCCTTACCCTGTGGCACTTCAGCATTCCAGATCCCAGCTCCCAGGAGCTGAAAGGCACCTCTGAGTTACATTCAGAGGAGGAGAATTTTGGGAAAAAAATATAACCAGAGTGAGTTTCATGCACCAGAGAGTATGATGATGACCTAACACCAATTCCTTAAGAAAGGACGGAAGAGGAGGCACAGTGGGAAATTTGTCAGAAATCCTGGGGCTGCTGAGTGTTGCCCTCAACACAAGTGCAGTGCAACAGGCAGAGGGAACAGCAGCATGGCAGTCCTGGAAGTCAAGGAAAAGTGGGAATTCCATCCCTCATCTAACATCATCATCTCTGCTTCACAACATGCACATCTTGGTGCTTCCCTTTTCCTTCTCTAACCTAAACCTTCTCAGAAATGCTCGAAGTACACCAGGATCTCTCCAGGCCGTCTCTCAGGCAGCTTGGCTGCTTCATCAGTGATAAAAGACAAGATCCCAGAGATTTCCATTCTGCTCTGCTAAAAGTCCTCTAAAACTGGCAGTTGGAAAAAAAAGGCCAAACAGGGACTCCTGAAGGCACTTGCTTGGAGGAGCACTTACTGTGATGGGATTAACCACAACTGAGCCACCCTGGCTGGGAGGACCAGGCTGGGAGCATGGACAGCAAGAGCTGCCTGTGCTCAAAGGCAGAGTGTGGTCCCAAAAAATGGTACCACAACCTTTGGTTTCCACCTGCCCCCTCACCTGAGCAGGCCCTGGGAGCTGCTTGGAGAGGGTGGAGGTGCCTGAGGTATTGCAGTGTCTTTGTCGTGGTGAGGCACCGGCACAGAGGGCCCGGAGCACCTGGGGAGGCACCAGCCCACCTGGCCTGGTGTGGAGTGGGGCTGGGGGCTCCTGCCTCTCCTGGGGGTGGCACTGAGGGGCTGCTGGCCTCTCCCAGAAGTGGGACTGGGGGCTGCCAGCAACTCCCAGAGGTGAGTCTGGGGGCTGCCTGCCTCTCCTGGCAGTGGAAGTGGGAGGGTCCTGCCTCTCCCAGAGGTGGGGCTGGGGGCTGCCTGGCTCTCTGGAGGGTGGGCTAGGCCTGCAGCCCCAGCAGGCGGGCAGTGTTCAGCACGTCGTCCCTCGTCAGGTAACACCCACAGAGCTGCCGGTACCCGGTGAAAGCCTCCCGGCCGTGCAGGACACGCCAGTTATCCACAAACAGGACCTGCAGGAAAGGGAAAAGGTCAGGAGGACAGCAACCACAGCAGGCAGGGCCAGGAGCCTCCGGCAGGGCAGGTCCTGGGGATCCCTGGACACTGGAAGAGCAGGTAAGGGTGTACCACAGAGGGCAGGAGCCTCCTGTTTCCACATTGGCACAAGTGAGGCTACAGCCAGCTGTTCCACAGGATCCAGCACAGCTCTTTCACCAGCTCTTTATGGAGCCAGCCTAGAAACACATTTTGGGGTTTCTTTGCCTTTCTACTGGAGAGGAAATAGTTCATCAGCAATAGACAGTGGCCAACATATCACTGAATCCCAGAATACTTGGGTTGGAAGGAGCCTTAAAGCCCATCTTGTTCCACCCTCTGCCATGGGCAGGGACACCTTCCACTCTCCCAGGTTGGTCCAAGCCCCATGGAACCTGGATTTGAACACTTCCAGGGATGGGGTAGCCCCAACCACCTGCCTCTGTGGTGTCACTTACCCATGTAAGGGCTCAAACATAACCTCAGAACTGTAATTTCTTCTGGAAGAAGTGAAAGCATGAACATTGTGTGTTCTGGCCTCTCTGCTCCTGAGGATTCTCATTTCAGTGGCTGGAAACTGGGACTAACTTTCCTCTGAGGCAGAGCTTGAACTAAACATCTCTGCCTCACCTGGGAGCTCATACTGCTTTAGGACAGCAGAAAAACATGCAGAAGCCACTACTGTTAACACTGGAGCACCCAGAACAAGGAAAACTGCTGGATATGGCAGTGCCCAGACACCGGCACACCCATGGAGCATCCTGCCCTTCTCCCTGTGCCAAACCCATGGGATTTAGCTCCCAGTCCCACCCTGGACCAGTGCTAGAGGATGCAGCTCCAGGTCCCACCTTGCCTGGCTTCAGCTTGACCCAGAGCTCGTTGTCGGGCCGGCGCAGCTCGGCGGTGAGGGCGCGGTGCGCGTGGTACCAGCGGCGCACCACGTCATGGGGCACCGTGTTGATCACGGCACGGTCGTAGTTGTTGTACCTGCGGGGAGAGGAGAGACAAGAGATTGCCCAACGTGGCTCCAGGTGCTTCCAAGGGAACCTCAGGAGCCTGTGGGATTACTGGGTAATTTAAAGGAGGCTGCAGAGGTGACCAGAGAGGTTGTGCCGCCAGCACAGAACTTTGGGAACACAGCACTGAGGGCAAGAGAAGTTTACTATCAAGTGTACACCTGTTCTTCCTGGTTTTCCATGGAAGGACATGGCAAGACTGAGAGCTGCTTAGAATAAAAGTGCAAAGCAGTGCCGGACAATGTCTAGAACTGAGGCAAACTGGAGTTTCAAAAACCAGCCCAAGTTCCCTTTGGAAGGGATCACTCTGCACTCTCCTGTTCCCTGTGTGCCAGGATAGTTTCTAGAGGCTTCTACAGAGAAGGGCTAAATTTTTCTGCATCTCACATAGAATGAGATGAGAGCTTGGAGCTGAAGGGAGAATACCAGGAGTAAAAAATCAAAGTTCACACTGACACCCATCTTTGCATCAGTGGTGCTGAGGCTTCCTCTAAAGTGGGAGGAATACAGGGTGTTCCTGTGGTTTCATCCCTGCTCATCAAAGATACATTGGTTTTCAGCCCATGGAACGTTCTGGAAAACCATGACCACAATGCCCTCTCCTCCCCAGAGGCCTCCTGGCCATTACCTGATGAGGTAAAGCTCGTTGTTCCAGGGGTAGACGTTGAGCACCGGCCCCACTCCGATCATGTGGTTGTGGCAGCCGCCCACGTTCTCCACGTACTCGTGTTTGAGGGGCACCTTGGCCAGCAGCTCAAAGTGCTCTGGGGCCTGGTGCAGCACCCGCTCGGCCGCGTGGAACCCATCCACCAGCAGCGTCCGCCCGCCCGTGCCCTCGTGCTTCAGGCAGTGGAACACCTGGATGCTGCACGGAGACAGAATCCAAGAGCAATGACCTTGGCTGCCCATCCCCTGGGCACAAAGTGCTCCCTGAGGACACAGCCAGGTGTCCCTGCTGCTTCTCCAGACCCAATCCCACATGTTTTGCTGGGTGAGGAGGCAGCAAACTGCCTGTGCTGCATCCCAAACCTAGTGACACGAGTCTGGGGACTTCAGGAGCTGCAGGATGAAGGCTGTGTCACTCAAAATCCAAACCCAAATGGCTGCTCCATTCCTGGAAGCATCCAAGGACAGGCTGGATGGGGCTTTGAGCAGCCTGGGATAGCGGAAGGTGTCCCTGGAGCAGCACGTACCCACAGGGCTCCTGGAAGTAGGTGGTGTCTGTGTGCCGGTCCAGGGCCAGCTTGGTGTAGGCTGTGTCTCCGCGGGAGAAGTCAGAGGTGAAGTACCACATCCTGCCATAAATGGTCTCCCTGGAAAAGAGATGGGCAGCTATCATAGGTCAGTGTCTGGGTAAGGCATATCCTCCCCTACATTTGAGTTATTCCCCTCTGTCCCATGCACAGAGTGATTAAAGCAGAACAACTTCACAAAATTCAGATTGTCAGGGATGGTGCTTCTAATCTCTCTTCTGGTGTTCACCTCCTCTCTTTCCTCCCCAAAAGACTGGTGATGATGAGTCTTCCCCTCCACAACCACTGATGTTTCCATACCAACCATCATCCCCAGTCATGGAAGTGACACAAGGAGGTGCCTAAGTGCAGCCAGCCCTTACTTGTATCCACACAGGGTTGCCCAATAATTCCATTTCTTCTTCCCAGTATCCTGTTTTCACTACCTCCCCCCTCCAACATGCACAGGAGGGAAGCGACACCAGGCAAGGCCAAACAGCACTCAGGGGCTACAGGGAGAGGGTCCCTGGAGACAAAAGCTGGCTGGCTGTTCCCTGGAGCCCCTAGTTTCCATTTGAAGTGACTGTTCATTAACAGGAATGCCTCCTTTTCCAACAGCCCAGACAAATCAAACTGTTTCTACAGCTTGGATAAAGCCCTGAGCCCAGCCCCTGGCATACCATGCTGGCAGTGCTTTACACAAACCCAACACCAACAGCTCTCACTGTTTTTCTCCAGCAAGAGCTCCAACTGGTCTTTGATCTCCCTGGCTCCCAGGGCCAGGCTGCCCTCACGACCCCTCAAGTCATAACAGGAAATGTCTCTCCTTGCAAAGCCCTGCTCTTCCCAGCCAGCCACTTCCTTCAGTCCCTCCTCTCTGCACAGTCCCACTGTCACAAAAGTCATGGGATGCTCTAGGGGCAGCTCAATGAGTGAGTGATTCACAGCTCTTCCATAAAGGAGGGTGGATCCCACAGTAGGATCCTCCATCCCAGGTCCAGGGGAGCAGCCAGAGCATTTGTCTGCAAACCAGGCCATGCCACACAAAACACAGGACAAGGAAGCAGCAGCTTTCCAAACAGAAAGAAAACAAGTTTATCCTTCCCAGGATAGCCTAGATACCTGATTATGCTGATCCTCTTTGCCAAGATTTCCGTGTCTTCTTTGGTGGGAGTGACATTCTCCACAAAAGCAATCCCGTACAACAAGAAGTTCTGCAGGAATTCCTTCAGACCCTCGTCTGTCTCCAGGAAGCTCTGGCAGTCGATGGAGGGGACCTGGGCTTGCTGGTAGATCTCAGCATTCCAGAGGATCCGGGGGTGCATGACCTGCTGCTTCTGCCCCTCGTAGCTGTTCCTTGCCAGCCACTCCAGCCCATACCGTGTGACGTGTCCATCCGGCCCTGGCACAGGGACAAGGGCAGAGTCACCAAAATCCCACTGGCCAGCCTGGCATCGTGGCACCTGTCAGCCCAGGACAGGCCTCACCCTTGTCACCTGTCTGGGGATGGGTCCTTTGCAGCCTGCTGCCACCTGAAATATGACCTGAAAGGCCACAAGTCCTACAGGTGTTATCACTGCTGCCACAACTCCAAATTCAGGGCAGCTGCTGCAACCCTCTCCAAATTCCCAGCTAACTGTTGCATCTGCAGTGGTTCTGGCTTTTGTTGACAGGCCTAAAAGGACAATCAAAGCCCTGAAGTCAAGCCCTCAAATAAAAGTAAGCCCCACCAAAAGGAAGAAAGCAGCTGGGAAAGTGAGGAGAAAGGACAGAGAACAGGCATGGTGAGCAGGGCTGACAGCTGCTCACAGAGAACAGGGAAGGAAAAGAAAAGCAACCATGTCATGCCCCATCTGTTCACCACCTGCACTGCTAGGGGAGTTTGACCAACCCAGGCACTGCATACACACAAGAAGGGCTGGGGCAGGAGAACCACACCACTTTGATGCAGAGGTGTGTTTACAGTGAGAGCAGTGTTTAAAACCTGCTCACGGCTCAGTGTCTTCCCAGGCAGGCAGATCTGGGGGTAATGCTGTCCATCAGCAGGCACAGGAGGGCACAGGTGTTCAGGACTCACAGGTGAGGAAGAGCGTGGTCTCATCCACCCGCACAGCCTGGGGCTGGATGGCCAGGTCCACGCTGGCCGTGTCCAGGCTGCGCTGCTTGGTCTTGGCGTTGTAGCAGGAGGCGGAGCGGCAGTGATCCCGCAGCCACACGAAATCCAGGCGCATCACGGTGCTGCCGTACCTCAGCTCTGCCAGGGATGGGAGCAGAGGAGGCTTTGGGGCAACAGGGAGGACAAACAAAGCCAAGAATTGAAGCCCAGAGCCCACATTGTATCATCCCAATTACAGGGGATACAGTGGTATCCCTTGACGTAAATTGTCACAAGAGGAAAACCTGGCAGAGGATCTTATCAAAGGCCTGGCTCCTTTGCTTTGGAGCCACTGTGTAAAATGCTGAGAAATTCCCTTTGCTTGCAAGTGACTCGGAGTACTGAGATCTCACTGGCCTCAGCTGCCAACCCTGAACAAGGCTGGGCAGCAGAGGTGGGCACACACCAGAGCCAAGGGGGGCTGTGCCAGGGAAAGCCTGAGCATGGAACAGAAAATGGTGCCTGACAGGGCACGGCTCAGACAGTTTTTGTCCAGGAATCCCTGGATTTCATTACTTATTTAGCAGTGCCTCACTTATCATAGAAGACAAGGCTGCTCCATCCTGCCTTTGGGAATTCCAGCAGGGAACATGAAACGGCCCCCAGCGTGCATCCCTGTGACGCAGGCTATTTCAGAAGGAAAACACACATCATTCCAGGGGACAAGGGTGGAATCCCTCCCTGCTGTCCCTGGGCAGAGCAGGAGCACCCTCACCCAGCACACCTACCGAGATGGTCTCGGTGCAGCTCCCAGGCACAGCAGGGGGACGCTGGGGCTGTGGGGTGGCAGCGTGCAGGGACAGCCAGGATGGGCCTGGGGCCCCGGGGCAGCCATGGCCAGTGATGTCCAGAGCTCCCACGCCGCCCCCGGAGCAGGCACGCCAGCCTCTGGCACCACATCCTGCCAGTCAGGAGAGAGGGAACAAGGTGACTTGGATGTGATACTCTGTCCTAAACCCCAGCAGGAACAGCCCTGAGGAGACACAAAAGACATACCAGGATCCTGTGAGGGTGGGCAGGCCCTGGCACAGGGTGCCCAGAGAAGCAATGGCTGCCCCTGGATCCCTGGAAGTGTCCAAGACCAAGCTGGACACTGGGGCTTGGAGCCACTTGGGCTCGTGGAAGGTGTCCCTGCCCATGGCAGGGGGTGGAATGGGATGAGCTTTAAGATCCCTTCCAACCCAAGCCATTCCATGATTCTGTGATTTACCAGGCAAAGCCAATCCAGGAGAGACAGCTGTGTTCAACACTCTTGTGCAAAACAGTGGCAAAGCCTCATCTCTGAAGGTCTTGTCCCCCCTCCAGCATTCCCAGTTTGAATTCACCATTCCTGGATGGAATTGCAGCAATAGGGGAAGCAAAGTGACCTTGGTTAGGGAAGCAATAACAGAGGAACCTGGTAATTAGGCCAGTTCTAGAAAAAGCAGGCAAAACAATGAGGAGGAGGAGGAAGATCTCTGCTGCTGGTGAAGGACACAGCTGGCATGAAGGAGAAACCACCATGATTAATTTTAGGATAGAGGTTAGAAGGCGATTTCTCCAAGGGAAATTTGCAACAACTCTTCAGTGCAAAGAGCAAGGGCAAAAACCTGACAAGTTTTAAGAGATGATGCCTCAGTCTAAATGCCTGTCATGTTTATGAATTTCTGGGGGCCAGGTCTAAACCCAGCAGGATTTTAACAGCACTTTGAAGTGCACTGAAATGTGGTCTCTCTGGATAAGACACAGGCTCAGAAAGCATTTCTTATCCTAGACTTCTGATTTTCCTTCATTTTCTTATCTGGAGAGTCCAGGCACTGGAGCTCTGGCTGTCCAAGCTGCTTCTGCTCTGCAGAGACCTTAAAAGCTGCTGATAACAACCAAATCCACAGAGGTGCCACATTCCCAGCAGCAACTTGTTAAGCAGGGATAAAAGAATGCAGACATCCCTAGGGAGAAAAAGTGGGAATGTTTCTGAAGAGAAGGTTTGAGATGAAGGCACACTGACACACTTCAGCCCTGGAGTCCTTTCCATGAGAAATTTTCCCAACATTCAATCTAAATCTCCCCTGGCACAGCTTGAGGGTGTTTCCTCTTGTCCTATCCCTTGTTACCTGGGAGAAGAGACCAAACCCCCTGGCTCCAGCCTCCTTTTCCAAGATATCCAGTTCCTTTTCCTGCTGCCCAGCTTTGAAAATCTGCTATAGGAAGAGGAATGAGCCTCATCTGACACACAAATCTCATAACCAAGAGAAGAAACCCTACAGCTACAAAACCCAGGAGCTGCCCCTGATTTTTATCAGCTTTAAAATCTTAAAGAAATTATTTAAATCCCTGAACCAACAACTCACAAAGCTTATCTGAGAGAGGGAAAGTCTGTCCAGTTTGGCTTTTGGATCCACTATCCCAGTGAGGGGTAGAAAACAAGGAATCTTGCCTGCACACACACACAGGACCCAAAATGCCAGGAAAAGGCTCACCCACAAATCCATCAGCACATGGCCTGTGCCTGGGCCAGCTCCAGCCTTAGTTTGATCTTTCCACACACATTTCTTGGCTCTCCTCCTCTCCCAGTATCAAAACTGAGAAGGAAATTAACACAGGTAATGGGAAGTGACCCAGATAATTAAACCTAATCAGGGAGAACTTGTGTTGCTCTTCCTGGAAGAAAACACCACAGGCAGCCCAGTGAGAGCTTTAAATTCAATCTTTCCAAGACATACTAAAACTAAGAGGCATTAAACCCCCAAAAAATCTCTATGATTAGGGAGGATTTATAATTTTTGTTGTTTCATCAGAGCTAACAGCTGAATGAGCTACATGAACAGCAAACTCTCTTCCTGCATCTCCTGCTACCTCACCTTTATGCTTTATGTGGTCCAGACACATGGGCAGCAGTGAAATGAGAGAATTCCAGACAAGATTTCCCTCAGAATTCAAAGCAAAAGGGCAGGAGGGAGCAGACATTAAATGCTCAGTGCATAAATGCTCAGTCATACACACGGTGGGTGACACAGGACCCACAGGGTGAAGGAGAGAACAGTGCTGGAAGGAAAAAGAGAAACCTCAAATCTATTGTGATTTGAGGAATTCCCATCAGTCTTTGGAGAGAAAGGACAGGAGAAGGTGTGGAAGGAGCAGAAAGGAAGGCTGGGTTTCACAAGGGTTAACCCTAACCCTAACATCACAGTTTGTCTCACAAGAAACATTTCAAGGAAACAAAACTGGGTTTAACCTCTCTGAGAAAAAGCCACAGTCCCCATTCTGGCCAAAGGAAATGGTGAAAAAAATGAGCAACCAAATAGTTTCAGCAATGGGAACACCTAAGAAAGGAGAAACCCACAAACAGGGGTTTCACCAGCTTTTAGCCAAACCCTCCAGGGCATGGGATGACCCTGCTGCCCTCCCTGCCCTGCACCAGCCCTTCCAGCCTGTTTGTCCAGATCCTCTGAAAAAAAAAAAAAAAAAGGTGTTTTCTATGAAAAAAACACCTCAAACATTCAACAACTGCTCACACTCACTCAGTTTTTACTTCTGGAAGCACCTGGCTGGAACCAAGGTTTCTGTTCCATATGGAAGAGGGAGCTGCCAGAAGCACAACAGTCCAAAGTGAGGGAAAGGAATTTGGCCTTTGATCCTCTGGGATCCTTTAACCTGACAGTTCTCTGCAGGAAAGGAACACCAAGAAAAAGAAATTTGCAAAGGCTGAGCTGCCCTGAGGACTCTGCCAGAGCCAGAGGAGCGAAGAGTACAAGGCCAGGTGACAAACCAGATCCCCCAGGATGGCAGCACCTCTTGGACAGGACACAGGCAGAGTTTAACAGCCTGAGATGACTCAGTTAATTACAATTAATTACCACAGAGACAAAAAGCAGACTGGCTATTCCCTGCTGAGCTCCTGCCCTCACCCTGCAGTCAACTCCATCAGATCTCAGCTGTCAGGAACCAGATTCCTCTTCCAGCCCTTCCCCACATGGGATTTCAATGAAATTAAGGAGCTAATAAAGATATCCCAGGCACTGCCAGCTTCACAGCTACTTCATTTTCCTGGAAGCAAAGGGAATTATCTGCTCACCCCATGTTTCACGCTGACCACCTGATGGCAGGCCCCATTCCCAGAACCTTATTCCAGCCTCCTGTTTGCATTTCTCCCAAGCAAAGCCTTCCCAGGCCATGCAGCTCAACAGAAACAAGTTCTAATTCTGTTGTTTTTTTTTTTTTTTTTTTTTTTTTTTTTCCAGCAAAGCAGCCAGCCCTGATGGTAGAACCCCCCCAGAGGAGTTACTCCAATAAACTCCTATTGCTAAATCACTCCATACTCTGGGTCCTGCCCGGGCAAAGAGGAGCCAGGCAGGGTGGGGTTGTGTTTTTCCAGGGAATGACGGAAAACAGCTCTGCCCGAGAGCTGCAGCCTTTCATTCCCTTTCGCTGGGACCGTAATTCCCGTGTGAGCCCGGGCCTGGCATTACCTGGGACACTGGAACGGCGGAGCTGCGGGATGGCGGAGCGCGGTTCGGGCGGGCTCGGGATGCTGAAGGGATGGCGGAGGGGCTCAGCCGGAGGGGCTCAGCCGAGGGAATTCCGCAGGGTCAGCGCCGCTGCCCCGGGCTCTCCGCCGCTCCTTGCCCCTCCTCCGCCTCCCTGCGCCCACCAGGCCGAAAACGCCGCTCGGAGCTTTCCCACATCGGCCGCTGCTGCCCGAGGGAACCGGCGTATGGGTGACCCTGGAAAGAGGGAAAAAACAAGGAAAAAAGAAAGCTACGCTGCAAACGGGTCCCTGTCCGAGGGGGCCCAAGCGCAGTCCCCGAGCCCCGCGGGCAGGACCAGCCCCGCTGCGAACTCGGGGGGCTGGGGGGCACAGCGACCGCCACCCACCTCGGCGGCTCCCCGTTGCCCTGGCGCGGCCCCGGTGCCTCGGAGCGGCGTTGCCGGGCCCCAGAGCCCGCAGGCGGCGGCGGGGCCGGGTCAGGAGCGGGGCTGGGGCCGCCTCAGGCCGCCCCGGGGCGGGGCCGCCGCCGCCATAGAGACACGCGGGGCAGAGCGTCCGCAAACCATAGAGCCGCGGCGGGACGGGGCCGCCGGCAAACGGGACCGGACCGAGACAGGACGGCGCCGCCCCGGGAGACGCCGCGGCTCCGGAGGCCTCTCCGGTCCGGGAGGCCGCGGGACGAAGCGCCGCAGGCGGCACGGAGCTCGGGGAAGGGGATGGAGCGCGGCGCACGCCCCACGGGGACGCGCGGGTGCCACCAGCCCCCGGACAGCGCCGGCCGTGACGGGCTCGGGCACGGAGCGGTGCTGCGGAGTGGCGCCCCCTGGCGGGCAGGCGGGCACTTGGACAGCGAGAGGCGCCGCGCTGCCCCGTCCCTGTCCCTGTCCCCGTCCCTGTCCCTGCCACTGCCTTGCCCCATCCCTGTCCCTGTCCCCGTCCCTGTCCTCGTCCCCGTCCCTGTCCCCGTCCCTGTCCCTGCCTACCCCTTCCCCGTCACTGTCCTCCCTTCTCCCGTCCCTGTCCCCGTCCTTCCCCGCTGCAGCCCATGCGGTGCCGGGGATACACACATCCCCTTTTGGGTTACTAAGCGCTGATTTTCATCCAAACCGGCACACTGGCGTGCGCGCCGGGCAGGCGGCAGGTCCCCGCTGGAGGGCTGCCTTGGCCCGGCGGTGGCGACCGCCGCCCCTCGGCCCCCTTCCACCACCCCCGGTCCCGCAGCACGCCCGACCCTGCCCTGCCGCCGCCTCTCTGGAGAGCGTTCTCAGCCCCGAAGATGCCCCGGAGCAGCGCGGGGAGGACCCGCCGGGACCCTCGGGGCAGTGGCTCCGGTCCCTGGAGCTCCGGCTTGCTCTGCAGCACGAAGCACCTGCAGGGACTGAGTTGGTGGATCAGAAAAAGCTCCAGACCCGGCACTGGGAGAGGCAGGTGGCACTGGGGAGAATAGATGACACGTGGGGACACAGGAGCTCTGGGAGTGGTTACCTGGGGATTAGGATGAACCTGTCAGACACAGACAATTCCAGAATGGTTTGGGTTGGAAGAAACCCTAAAGCTCATCCTGTTCCAACTCCCTGCCATGGGCAGAGACACCTTCCACTATCCCAGGTTTCTCTAAGCCCCATCTAAACTGGCCTGGAACAGGGGACATCCTAGGGACATTCTAGGGACATCCTGCTCTGTGCTTAAACGTGCTGGTGCCTCCCTGGGCAGGGAATAGGGCAGGATGAGGTCTCAGCGGCGCCTCCCCGGTACCTGTGCAAGCAAACCGCCCCAGCGAAGCACTGGGAAATACTCCCCAGAGCCGTGCCGGAATTTCCATGCCTGGTTTTCCAAGATCCAGGTGTTCTGATTCTTTCCAGTTTCCCTGCCGTGGGTATGGGGGCAGCGGAGTCTCTCGCTGTCGCTGTCCTGGCAGCGAGGGGACGCGCTGGTGCCACCGCGGATTCCTGATTTCCGAGTGTTTTTCAGGAAACGGGTGGGGGCGACGCCTGGAACAGGCAGAGGAGCTGTCGGGGATCTGCTGCTTCCCAAAACCTCGGTGCAGCTCCCGCGGGAGATAAACAAGTTAGTCACTGGGTGAGCTCACGGCAAAGGCATCCCGGCCTCCATGAGAATTTGTCACAGGCCCTTCCCGGGGTGCGATCGTGTCCCGGTACCGGCTCCCGGGAGGAGGCAGCGCATGCGATTAGCAGCCTCGTGCTCGGGCAGTGCCCGTCGCCTGTCCCTCGGTCCTTCCTGGCAGGAAGCCCGGGCCCTTCTCCTCCGAAGAACGAGGGAGGCACAGCCCCTCGGACGAGCAGGGGCTCACTGGGTGCCTGCAGGATCCAGGCGTGTTCCCGATGGAAGTGATGGATGTGAGCAAACAGGATCAAGCAGTGCCTGAGCTGAAGGGCTGGGCTGGGAGCTCTGGGGGCTCTGGGGATGGGGGATCCCCCTTCCGTGGTGTCCCACTGGCTGCCTTTGGGATGGGCAGTGCAGCAGCACTGGCGTGGCCCGTGGGTTAAACTCACAGGGTTGTTTCTCCTCGAGTGAGGAGCATGGGGGTCTCTGGAGCTCACTGGGATTTGTGGTCCCTCCTGTGCCCCACAGGGTCCTGTGGGACAGGGACAGGCAGTGCTGGGGTCCTCTTGGAGGAGGCCCATGTGCCCCCCAGGAGCCCAGCACTCTGGGATGCACCTGCTGCTTGGCCTCAGCACGTAGGAACACATGTGCTGGGAAAGAAAGTGCCTGGGAACTTTCTGGGGATTTCCCAGAGAGAGAGCTGGGATCTGGGAATTTTCTGCCCTCCCCCTTGTCCCCTCCTTCCTCACTCAAACACTGCTCCCGAGGTCACAAACGGCTTTAAAAAAAGCAACAGCCCACACAATGCTCTTCCCTTCTCCAGAGGGTGCTGGTGACGAGATCCCACATCCGGCAGGGGATACGGAATTAGCCCTCTGCCTGGGAAAGGCCCTGCCAGGCCCTGCCAGCTGGTTCCACACCAAGGGGCTACCGTGGCCACGCGCAGAGGAAAAAGACTCCGGATCCTACAGGTGCATCCTCCCCTGGGCCTGTTCCATGGAGTCGTGCAAGAAATCCGTCCCCCTTCCCCACCCCAGGATTTCTTGGAAGTGGCTTTGGTGGTGCTGATGTCAAGCAGAGCTTTGGATGACGTGCAGGGCACATGGAGGTTTCTCTCTGCGTGTGGAGGATATTTCTGGACAAGGTTAGGACAGGGAATTCATGTTTTCCAGGAAATCTTGTGCAATTTCCACAAAAGCAGCAGGAACCAAGGGTGGGTGAGCCAAGGAGATGTTCCTGGAAATAGTTTGTAGGGCAAAAGCTCTGAAAAATATCGCTGTGGGTGTTGGAACAGTTTAATGAATGACCCACCTCACCCCTGCCTGACATGAATGATCCAGCAAAACCCAACCAATCCAGTGGAAGCCAATACGAATGCCCCAACCCAAGATGAATGACCCAACCCAACACAAATGACCCAACCCAAGATGAATGACCCAACCCAACACAAATGACCCAACCCAGCATGAATTACCCAACCCAACACGAATGCCCCGACCCAACACGAATGCCCCGACCCAACATGAATGCCCCAACCCAACATGAATGCCCCAACCCAACATGAATGTCCAACTTAATCCAACATGAAAAACCTACCTCAATCTAACCTGACAGGAATGACTCAACCTAATTGACCCAATACAACCCAAAATGAATGACCTACCTAGCACAATCCCATGCAAAAGATCAATGTCACCCAGCATGAATGACCCACCTTGACCTACCCAACCCAACCCAACATGGTGGTGCATAGACTGGAGCTCCAGGTGGCTGGTCCTGACCTACCTTTGCTGTTAGAATGAAACAGAAGCCAGTGGTGCACTGTTGAGGTGGCAATTGGTACTTGTTGCTCTTCCACTTTCAGGAGTCCTACTGCAGATGGAGACTTTCTAATTTGGTCATCTCTTCAGAGCAGCAAGAGGTTTTATTGTTTAATATGAAGATCACAGCAATGTCTCCACCAACCAGCAGGAAGGAGACACAAGCTTTCCTAGGCACCATAGGTTTTTGGAGAATGGACATTCCTGAGTACAGCCAAATTGTTAGCCCTTTCTACCTGGTCACCCACAAGAAGAACGAATTCCACTGGGGCCCTGAACAGCAACAAGCCTTTGTCCAGATCAAGCAGGAGATCACTCATGCAGTAGCCCTTGGCCCAGTCAGGACGGGACCAGAGGTGAAGAACATGCTCTACTCTGCAGCTGGGAACCATGGCTTGTCCTGGAGCCTTTGGCAGAAGGTGTCTGGAAACACTCGAGGCCAACCAATGGGATTCTGGAACTGAAGTTACAGAGGGTCCGAGGCCAACTACACCCCCACAGAGAAAGAGAGATTTCTTATTCTTGGCTGCCTATGAAGGAGTTCAAGCCGCCTTGGAGGTGATTGGCATGGAAGCACAACCTCTCCTGGCACCCCGACTATCAGTGCTGGGGTGGATGTTCAAAGGAAAGGTTCCTTCCACCCACCACGCCACTGATGCCACATGGAGCAAATGGATTGCCCTCATCACGCAGCACATCCCTATTGGAAACTCAAATTGCCCTGGGATTTTGGAGATAATTGCAAACTGGCCGGAAGGTGAAAACTTTGGTCTCACTGATGAAGAGGAGCAGGAACAAGGGATGAAGGCTGGAGAAGCTCCACCATACAACCATCTACTAGCAGAGGAAACACACTAAGCTCTTTTCACTGACAGTTCCTGTTGCATTGTAGGGATGAACTGGAAGTGGAAAGCAGCTGTATGGAGCCCCACACGACAGGTTGCTCAAGCTAACGAAGGAGGAGGTGGACCAAGTCAACTTGCTGAACTCAAGGGCATTTAGCTGGCCCTGGACATTGCTGAAAGAGAGAAGTGGCCAAAGCTCTACCTCTACACTGATTCATGGATGGTAGCCAATGCATTGTGGGGCTGGCTGGAAAGGTAGAAAAAGGCCAACTGGCAGCGTAGGGGAAAAACCAATCTGGGCTGCTGATGAGTGGAAAGACATTGCTACCAGGGTAAGGAGGCTACCTGTGAAAGTCCATCACATAGATGCCCATGTCCCCAAGAGTAGAGGTAATGAGGAGCACCAAAACAATGAGCAGGTAGACCAGGCTGCAAAGATAGGGGTGTCCAAGATAGACCTAGATTGGAAACACGAGGGAGAGATATCCCTAGCTTGATGGGCCCATGATGCCTCAGGCCATCAGGGTTGAGATGCCACCTAGAAGTGGGCACGAGACCGAGGGGTGGATTTAACCATGGACAGTATTTCTCAGGTTATCCATGACTGTGAGACGTGTGCTGCCATCAAGCAGGCCAAGCGGGTGAAGCCCCTGTGGTACGGTGGGCGATGGTCCAAGTAACAAGTATGGGGAGGCCTGGCAGATTGACTCCATCCCACTGCCCCAGACACGCCAAGGCAAGCGCTAGATGCTCACAATGGTAGAAGCCACCACAGGATGGTTGGAAACTACCCTGTGTCTCATGCCACTGCCTGGAACACCATCCTGGGCCTTGAAAAGCAGGTCCTTTGGAGGCATGGTGCCCCTGAGAGGATTGAGTCAGACAATGGGACTCATTTCAAGAATAGCCTTATCAACA